AGTCAACATGGCTCAATATTAGGACTAAACAACATAAACTCAGTTCTGAAAGTCCAAAGGATTAAATGAACGATTCACCAGTACTAATACGACTACTAATGGGGCGTGTGCTACTAGTGACATCTATCACTAGCCTATAAAGAGGTGTTCATAAGAATGAAAACATCAACTACCAGGGACACAGATTTGATGCCAAAGAAATCAAATGATATAGCGTTGCTGAGATACATGCGAGAGGTGATACGAACAAAAAGAAACACAAAATGAAGGCAAGAATTAGCACAAGATGGAAGATATGTGAGAATGGTGCGTTGAAGTATTGATGTATATTATTGTGCATTATTGGCATAGCGGTTAGGACGCTCGCCGACCATGCACATGGTGCGGAGTTCGATTCCCGGCCGACGCACTCCTTTACCTCGCTTAGCCAGAAATAATGCTGGTGAAGAGGAAAGGTTGGGCATGAGGCTAGCAACCCCATACTGTATAAACAAACACCACTGCTACAGAAACTTCAAGCCACTAGCTTGAAGCCCTATGTTCCACTGGGGAATGTGAAGGAAAAAAAAATATAGAGATACTTAAATTTCAAATGAACATTCTTTACCAAGATTCTCGTCTTCTGCCTTTACACTAATACGACTACGTTTACTGCCTCTCCAATGCTTGACATTATACGGCTACTTAGATGGTCATTATCCTCAGCAAGAGATTATCATTGATCCATATGAAGTTTATAATCAGAATGAACAGAATTCAGTATGATGAGCATCACTCCTAACAATTCATTACCGTATATTCGTTGCTAGTCATATTCACTTACACATCGATATGAAAACATCAACTATCAGGGACACAGATTTATTTTCAGAGAAAGCAGATGACTTAGCGATGCAGAGATAAATGCGGGAGAGAGAGTGGCAAGAGGTCAATCGTGGACCCAGCTGTAGAGGATGGCAGAAGACAGAATGAAGCAGAGATGTGTTGTGGAAGCCCTATGTTCCACTCCTAAAGCAAGAGAATAATAATAAACATCACTACGAAAATTACAAAATGTATTTTAGACATTTACTCCCGGATTTCGGTGTTGAGTATGAGATGAAATTCAGCATATAAAAACAGTTTTTACCATCCATATTAATTGAAACGGAATCCCGCCTCAAATCTCAATATAAGACTACCCAACACTCAAATTAATCGAAGTTTCTTGTAAGGTCTTTCAACATGAATTTGACAATATGAAAGTAAGAATTCAAGGACGAGGTGAAGATGAATATGCTATACCCCTACTGATGATCACTTGCCATGCATTAGTAAAGGTGAGTTTCATGAGGACATAAGCGCACGTAGAATTAGTCAATTTAAGATGAACCGAATATCAAGAAGCTAAAGTGAACTGTGTGTGATATGTGAAATGGCAAGGGTATGTTAAGTCAACCATTGTGATATCAGATATATCAAGGGAAGCCTGGATTTCAAGATGGGTAATGAAACACTTTGGTTATGGAGTGCAGTTCTCCGATGACCTTCACTGAACATGATATCTTCATGAATTCTAAATTCTATGGCCTAATTGTCAAGTTAAATTGACACCATGGACATACATCGAATCTTTTTGTTCAGATGCTACTCACGCACTGGTATCTGACAAATGCCCTCCAATTTATGAAATATCCCGGTTTCTGCTTCATATCGGATTGACTTCACTTTCACACTATTCACACCCATCAGTTGACTTCAAATAAACCAGTTTCATCTTTCATCTTGTGAACAGTTTCAATCAAAAGGTGTTTACATTGAAGATATTTACTTCATGACGAAGGTTGAAGTAAGTTTGTGCATAACACATGTGGAAATTATACATGACGAACCAATTTTGATAGAATCAGGTTGTCTCATATGCAACAAGTGATTTAGACCAGTATGGTAGTGCAGGATAGTTACCCAAGCAATTCAGCTTTATTTTCCACTGATCTAACCGATTGATTCCACACACTATCTGAAGTCCTATCGCTTCTCTTGGATCTCTGAGCTGATCATGCTGAAAATTGCATATTTCTACTAAAATTACTGTTTGTGATAGAGCTGTTATTTTCATCATTGATATAATTAAGATTATTTATGAAATAAAATTATAAGAGAAAGTAATAATTATAAATAAGACATACAGCGCGTGATGTTGACCTCAAACAACACAAATATTTCTTCATTCTGTAAACAATTACGCGTTGCCAAAATCACCTCATTTGTACACTTCTCATAATCTTTTCTAAGCACTATTCAACTAACACACTTGTACTAAGCATTCTGTATGTGTTGTGCATCAGTAACAGAAATTCCTATCATACGTGTGCACGCTATTCTTCAATCAATATTCAGCAAGCACACTGTTTTCTGATGACACACGCGTGTCTCATTCATTCTATCACTTTTAGGAATGAACTGATGTGATTAGTTGAATGAGAATTCTAGGTTCCGCTTTCTAGTATGTACATTAAACCACATTTTGGTGTTGTATTTCGGTGGCAGTCGCCAAGTTGAACGAGGAACACGTTTCGCAACCAATCTCATATCGACTAAAATAGCGATGGCGTAGCGTGATCAACACGTTTTCGATGGATCTCAGCAATAATAATATTACTAAGAGTAATTTCAAAAATGCAAATATAATTCAACGAGTCGATCAAGGATTGACATCAGTTAGAGAACTATTGAATACTAAGGTGTACTGGACAGCTGTTGCATCCCAGTACTCTTTGGATTTCAGTGTTTCTCGAACTGATGTCAATCCGTGATCAACTCGAAGAAACAAAACTAATCCTTACAAACCAATTATGGAAAATATAATTTCACTTCTCATTATTGATATGTATTACAGGTGGAACATCAAGATTAATGAGCACTTCTGCATTTAATGCCTATCTCTACAGTCACTTCTAACTGACAATCAAAATTACAATGACAAAATCCAATTCAATCCAAAGAACATGAAAATGTTTACTCTTGTATACTGACGTCCTAAGCTTATGCATTGCTCTTATTCGATCTCTCCACCACTGCTTGACTATGACTTTGTGACAAAGTAAGGGACATCCAAAGTTCTAGGCAGCGTGTGTAGCCTTCCTATGCATTTTTTTATTCCTTTAAGTTCCCAATAGAACACAGGCTTCAAGATAGAGGTTTCAAGTTTCTATAGCAGTGTGGTTATTTTTACAGGATGAGGTTGCTAGCCTCCTGCTCAAACTTCCCTCTTGACCAGTCTTATTACTGGCTTAGCGGAGTCATTGAGTGTGTCAGTGGGCAGGCATCTAACCCCGGACCACATGCGTGGTCAGCGAGCTTTCTATCGCCTTGCTACTGACGCATCTTACTGTACGTACACGCTGTAATATTGTTTCGGGCAGGCGCTTCAATTCTTGCTAGAAATTGGCGAATATCCTCTTGCCAGAATCACAGCTCTCTCCTCATTTTACAGATATCCTATTGCATCTCTTCATGTGGTAATACAAGCAACTGTAATAGACTCTATTTTCAGACGACATAATATAATAGTTCGATGAAAGCTTATTTGACTGGAATTTCATGTGAGAGACGAGAGATGTGTTAGACATGGAGCTGCTGATGTTCTGCGAATACTTTCAAGAAATAAACGCCACCGTTTATTTCAACTATCTTAAATATATTCCTGTCAGCATATGTGTTAATTTTCGATTTATTTTCCCATTGCTGATAATATCAACATCGTAGTATGTACATTCACATTTGATGAGTAATGTAACGAGGAAATGGGATGGAATATTTTAGAACACGCTAGGAACTCATTTTGTTTGAAATCAATCGATTTTTATCATTATTACTATTAATTTTAGTTAGAAGGGACTGTAACTATAGGTTTGAAATGGAGATGTGTTCTTTAATCTTGATGTTCCACCTGGAATACACATATCAGTGATGAGAAGTAGAATTATATTTGTATTTTGAAATTACTCTCAGTATAATTATTATTACTGGGATTCCTAGAAAATGCGTTGATCACGCTACGCCATCTTAATGTTAGTCGATAAGCGACTAGTTTAGAAAAGTGTTCTCCACTCCACTTAACGTCTACCGTCAAAGCACAACACCCAAGTGTACCTGAGAGCAAATACTAGAAAGCAGAACCCACAATTCTCGTTCAACTAATCGCATCAGTTCATTTCTAAAAGTCATCGAATGAAAGTCATCAGAAACCAATGTGCTAGCTGAATATTGATTATAGAGGATTGCGCAGACGCGCAATGAATTACTGATTGAAGAAATATCTGTGTTATTTAACACACATCAACTAATGATAAAGAATGCTGAGGGCAAGTGTGCTATTTGAATAGTGATTAGTAAATTCATTAAACAACCTAAAATAAGAAGGATTATGCTGACGCATAACTGTTTATAGAACGAGGAAATATTTGTGTTATTTGAGGACAGCATTACGCGTTGTGTCTCCCATGAACATCTATAACTCATTCTAATAATTGTACTATAGAAATAATCTAACTTAAGCAATGCTGAAATCAACAGCTCTATACCAAACAGCCTTTTTTGTAGAAATATCCAATTTTCAGCATGATCAGCTAATAAATTAGAGTAGCAATAGGATTTCAGATGGTGTGTAAAATCTGTTGACGAGAGCAGTGAAAATTGAAGGTAAATTGGTTAGTTCACCTAACTTCAGTATGAATAAATGAAGTTGGTGACGCGTATATGTTTTCACACCATTGTTTGTCAATAAAACAGTAGGTCTGATTACATCTACCACAGAGCTCATGTGTATGAATAGCACACACTCAGAAGCCTTTGAAGCACACTCCTCTGAAGTGATTCAATCTCCTAACAGCCACCTGATGACTAATCTCACATTACCACATTCCCGACAACGACAACCCATTGCGAATTAGAATTTTAACCACACTGGGTCACACACACACACCAGTTGAATCAAGTTTGAGTTCATGGAAAGAAGGTGGTGTAGCACATAAGTGATTTATTTAATTTATTTAATTGGAAATGAAACAATTATTTACGAAAACGTTTACAATCTGCATGTATCCAGTGTTACGCCAACTTGGATATTCATCCTGGTACTTCTCTTCAATAGCCTGTATGAGAATGAAATCAGTTAGCAATATTATTGGATGAAATATTACTGGTGAAATATTAAAAAAAAGACATATACTGGAGAGAAGGATGATTGCTGTTGACGTGTGTGCTAATTCATACAATGTCAAAATTCCTAACATTTCCAGTGAGTGATGGTATCCATATCCATCATTTTTCGCGGTATTTGAGTTGTTACATTTCAATAATTCACTATGGGCGTTGTGAGTTTCACCAGCATGCTTGCATAGCATCATTGACATTTTTGAAATGCGCGTGTGTATTGTCATACATTCACCATACCATCTATTGTGATCCACTACGATACTGATCATTGATGAATGTGATTACGGTAACCTACAACAACACTCATGATGATTTCACCATTCGATTAAACAGGAGTATTCGAGGCTGTCATTTGAACCACACGTTCAATAAAGAGTATTTGAACCGAAAGATAGTAGAATAGTCGACGATGAAAAATATTATCTAATTGTTGTGGTGAATTTCTGCATCCTGTGTTGTTCTTTGCCCACTCATCATCCTCCATCCAGACTGACTAACATTTCGTGCGTTTCACATTCTAGTCACTAACCCGATAACAGACCTTCGTATCCTATAATGTGTAAATATGATGTAAAATAAATCTCACCTGCCAACTCCTTCAATTGGGTTTCGTATAGATGCTTGAAAACTAGAAATGATAAGAAAGGTTGATAAATATTTGAATCGACCAGTAAAAAGGTCTGTTGTCCATCAGTACGTTTGTCTGATAACTAAAATTAGATAGGCACTGACTATCCGCGCAACAATATCACAACCGTTACACTATTTTCTCACAGAAATGTTCAATTGTGAAGTTTAATCAAACGGAGAAAATGAACTCACAAACTTCAATGCTAACCCAGTGCTTGTGATCGAATAGTGTTCGGGTTAACAAATTCATTTGATGCAGATCTGAAATGATTCATGAATGAATATCTTGCAGAGTGAATATCTCACAATCATAAAACGACGTTGAAACTCGAAATTATGCGACATGAAATGATGCAAAACAATCTGTTTGTTGCGCACAGATTCAACCAGCTGACTACTCTACAAACTAATCCACTTGGAATATGTTAAGAATGCACAACTTTCAAAATTCAGTCATCATGTCGTCGTTATATTAGTACTCGATCAGTTTCGCCTTCAACAAATAGTCTTTTTTTGTGTGTATTTCTATTCACAATCACATTATCTCAACAGTTGCATTTGTAGACGCCCAAAAGCATTCTGAACACCAAACTTGTTCATCCTCCTTCAGACATTATTACCTGACTCATGGTAAATTCTCATCACAGACTATCGTACACTGAGAGGTGGATGTTCATGAATTGAGATCATGATGAAAGTATTGTGACATGTGGAAATATACCTTCATCGTAGATGAATGTGAAAATGTTACTCATTTCATCAAGAATGTAAAAAAAAGAAACAAACGAATACCTTCATGGGGCGCTGAAGGCATATTTTTGAAACAATTTTCTATAGGAAACTCCTCCGTCTTATCTATTCATGGGTGAGTAAGGGTAAAGTACAGTTTGATTATTAACTCAGATTTGTAATAGATGTATGGAAACTGGCATTTCGAAAATCGTTACCCCACACAGACGAAACAATAAAATGCAACTTACAATAATATTCTAAAGTTATTTTTTGGCAACACTCCACCGTGTCTTCGTACATTGATTGACCTGCTGTAAATAAATGAGTGTCACACATATCAACCGATTTCTGTTCTTCTCAATATAATACACATTTATTCATGTTAAAGATGAATACAATCAGATAATTATGACGGTAAGTAAGTACAGAAATGATTCAAAACATTCATCTTACTTCTGGCTAGACGGACTGCAATCCCTAGGAAAGATAGAAACATGCTTATGTATTTTCAGCATCTCAGATCAGTTTTCAGTGTACAAAATTTCAAACATGCATCTCATACCAGTCACATAAGCGTTAATTAATGAAATGATCAGTGAGTGAGGAAGCAAATCATCAACAGGGAGTGTATCACGAAACCAACTTCAGATTTATCAAATGAAGAGTCAATGTAGTGAACAAATTTCATGAATAAAATGATATTTCGAATGAAAAGAATTTTGTAGAACGCACTGTTTATTGCTTCCTGTCCCCAAATGTATTTGTATGCAGTTCTCAGGCAGTTCATATCTAAAACAGATCCTCCATCATTTCAAAAAACTCAACTTGCTTACACTTTTCTAAATCTCCTTGTAAGCTTGCATTTTGACTGAGAATCTTGTCTAAGAAAACAGAAAAGCGAAAGCGTTGAATGTTAAAAGCATGTGGAGTTGTGTATTTCATTTCAGTTACTATCTGCTACATAGAGGACGAAATGAAATATTGATGTCATCATAGTAATAAATTCGAAAGCATAATTCATGGCATATTTTCGTAAGCGTTTATGAATTGTCAAAAATACGGCATCATGTCTTACTCACCTTTAAGAATTTGTACTGCCTTTTCTGCATCATCCAGCACCGGCTTGACTCCGTGTATATTGTCTATGGGGAAACGAGAATATTTTGTATGAATTGTCAAATAGGAAGTAAGATCACTGAATGCAAGTCGATGAATTCTCAAGTGGAATGATAAAATCAAATAATACGCATTGAAAATGTGCTTACTGTTGGTAATAGAAAGCATATCTGTGATGCGCTGTTTACTCCACGGTTGATCTTGAATTCACAAGAAGAAATGCAAACGACTGTTATTATACAGAGGAGAAGTTTTACAATGCTGAAAATTAGTAGAACAATTTCTCCACTTGAAATGCATCAAACTCCTTTTGAGCACTCTATGTATATAATTGCAGTCCAAAAACAAATCATCATCACAAAGTGTGTATTCAAGCTATTGAAATCTTAGGAAATTTTAGACTGACACATTATCGAAATGCGATAACGTGTCACTGTGAAAGTGTTAATATACACAGTTTCTGAATCAGAACTGAGTTGAAAGACGTCTCGGTGGTTATGCTGCTGGTCACCATGTACTAACCAAGATGAATTTGAGGTGAGAGCATACACAAAACTGACCATTTTGGAATAAAGGCTCAACCAGAGAGAATGACCCATGAGAGTAACTAGCAAACTGTTCAGCAGTTCCAGTGAATAAGGCAAACACGTCGTGCGGAAATAAGCTACAAATATACCATCTCTTGAAAAAATGCTTACCTGCTTTTACAGTTGCAAATGTCAACAGAGTGACGAAAGCTATATGGCTGTATGCGAAGTGGACCATCTTCTAATGGCAACTGACTTTCCATACCCTTATTTATACCACAACAAGCAGTCACATTTACGGGAAACTGTGAGTGTTGTGATTGGTGAGTGAAACAACCTCTCATAATATCGGATGATTCAAATAATGAATCAATGGAATCTGATAGGTGCAATGAAATCTATCGATCTGCTGTCTGTCTGTCTGTCTATTTTTGACATAGAACTTTGCACATATGTGCAGCAGTTCAAATCGCCACACTCCATGTAGTACACAAAGCAAGAGGAAAAATGCATAATAAAGACATTAAACAGAGGTGTCAGACAAAGGTATAGTAATAACGCAGAACAAAACAGTTTAATTGGAAATCATAAGTCACAAGGAGTGGATGCATCTGCGCCAGCCATTGACAACGATTTTGTGCCATGTCACCAATTGCTTCCAACCATTGGTTTTACTGTCCCGAGGACCCCAAACAGTCAGGAAGCCAGTCTACAGCTTCATACGTGGCTTAGACTAACTGTTGTAGATTTCATTGACTGGTGAAGGCATGTTTTGGTTTGTCGGCCGCTAGCTCTTTTCCGGCCTGACCCTATATAAGCTAACATTGCCCGTTGAGGAAGGTGATGACTAGGCATACGTAACACATGTTCTAACCATCTCAGTCGATGTAATTTCACAGTCTCGTCGACTGATTTCCCCGCCTTACCTAGCACTTGACGCCTAACCTCAATATTGCTCACCTTATTATACCACTTCATGCGGGAGATAGAACGTAGACACCTATGATCAAAGACAGCTAATATTTTCATGTCTTCCGCTCTCAATGGCCAGGTCTCACAGCCATAAAAGAGGACGGAGCGTACCGCTGAGCAGTACACACGCTCTTTGGTCGATAATCGGATGTCACGTCTATGCAGAGACGGCGTAAACTGGTATATGCGAAACTAGCCCTCTGTACTCGTGCTGAGATTTCGTCGGAGATCAACCCGTTAGCACTGACTGATGGTACTTTCCAAGTGGGGTGGTCAACGTGCCCTACCACTTCACTTCCTATTTCTAATCTAGGGGTTGGTGTTGTCCGATCCTGCAACATCACCTTACATTCCATAGGGAGCGAATCGCATGCCAAACATGCGAAGATTGTTGCTCAAGGTGTTCAGAAGACTCCCCATTTTGTCAGCGTCCTCGCCTAGAAGGACTATATCGTCTGCATATTCTAAGTCAGGGAGATTATTCACTGGTAGCAAGTCAATCCCTGAGTCTCTGAAGTCAGTTGGGGTTAAGTTCATCAGTACATATACGGTGAAGTTGAATAGGAATGGGGATAATGGGCATCCTTGACGGACGCCACTAGTCGTCACCACTTCAGCTGACAACCCTCACCTGGCTGCATGAGTACGAGTAGAGTGCCTTAATCAGTGCAATGTATTTTCTCGTCATTCCCTTTACAGCCAAGCACCGCCAGAGAACCTCTCGGTCGACAGAATCGAATGCCACCTTTAGGTCAAGAAATATAATGATTGTTGGACGCCGGTAGGAATGCCTATGTTCTAGAATCTGTCGAAGGGTGAAGATATTATCAATACACCCTCTTCCTGGTCTAAAACCTGCTTCGTTTTCTCGTGTTTGTGCCTCCCGAGCACCACTTAGTCTACGCAGTATTATTGAGCCTAGGATTTTAGATACTATATTAGTCAAGCTAATCCCTCTGTGATTATCGCAAGGAGACTTGTCTCCCTTCTTGTATATCGGGATGATCAGTGACTAACACCAACCCGATGGGACTTCCTCTGATCCCCAGACACTGCTTAGAACCTCAGTTAATGCAGACAGTAAACTCTTTCCACCGTACGTAAACACCTCTGGAGTCATTTCATCAGGTCCCGCTGCTTTGCCTTGCTTCAGATTAGTTACAGCTTTAGTAACCTCAGTTAAGGACGGAGGACCTGTGTCTATATCCCATTCAGGGAGTTGTTGGATTTTCGGCAGGTTAAGTGTGGCTGTAGGCCAATTAAACTGCTCCTCATAGTGTTCTTTCCAGCGTTCCAGTCGTCTATCCTGGGAGCTAATTATGGTGCCATTTTTCTCAGAGATTGTTTCGTTAGTCACTTGCCTTTTACCACCTGTTTCCCTGATAAGGCTGAATAAATGTCTGGTGTTGCCTATCGCCGATGCTTTTTCCATCTCTTTCGCTTTTGTCGCCCACCACTGTTCATGGTCGTTGCGAAGACTTTTTGTCAGTCTTCGTTTAAGTATCTTTCGCTCCTCATCATAATCGGAGCTCGCTGGAATCAGTCTTCTTGCGTCAATCAGTTCAGATGAGGCGGTAGAGATCCAATGGTTTTTATTAACTTTAGGTTTTAGCCTGTTAACAGCTTTCACAGCTGTGTCTACAGCTAACTGTATGTTGTGCCAGGCTACCTCAGGGGAAGTCCTGATGTCCACCTCAGAAACTCGTTTCGCTATTTCTTCCTTAAATGGGAACTCACTGTCTCGATCTAGTTGAGGACGTAACTGTTTCGATGCCGTCAATTTCTTATGTCCATTTAGTCGTAAGCAAAAACGTGCGCGAACCAGAGCGTAATCAGAGTCTACGCACGTGTTCCAGAAGAAGTGACAGTCTTCTACTGACCCTCGCCAACGATACCCTATGACTATGTGTTCTATCTCAGTCCAGCGTTGATTTGGTGATGGAGGTCGCCAGGTTACACAATATCTTTCTTTGTGTCTATAGTTAGTGCCGACTAAGAACAGATGATTATCTGAGCAAAACTGAAGAAGACGATCACCGTTGTCAGTTCGTCGGCAGGGAACTCCATACGTACCAACTACATAATTCTCAGTCTGTCACAACTTCCCTACTTGGGCATTGAAGTCGCCTGCTAAAACAACTATGTCTGAACGTTTTTGCTTTTTGAAGCAAATAAGACAGTTTCAGGTAGAAGTCACCTTTTAATTCATCCGAACTGCAGTCTGTTGGGGCGTAAGCGGTTACTACGGAAAAGGCAACAACAGGTAGCGCAGTCTTTCCTTCTTTTAACAAACCCGTTGAGACGGACAGCACACATACGACTATCTACTGGGATCCAGTCAAGAAGTGATTTTACCACCCTAACACTTAGTTTTATCACTTCTCATGCAAGTCCTCGCGAGCTAGCTGAGGGGTCTCTCGACACCCTTAAAGTGATTTTTGCAGATTCACCTTGTTGACCGGGTGAGGTCAAGTGAATGACCACACTCGGGTCTTGTATGCGTGTGTCCGAAACATAATATACATCCATGGCTCTAGATTCCAGAGTTCCTGCTATCCATCTGCAGAAACACTTCAATCCAAATAGTAGGCAGAATACATATGATGGCGTCCACATGAAGAAAGCACACTCGCAGTACATAGCGGATGAGCACATTCAGGGAGTCAGCCCACTTTGCGACGACTTGAATTAGCCTGACTAATCTACAACTGAAGCTGGGTTTTTTATTCGTGACAGTTCAACACTAAACACATTATGGCATATTGTCAGCAGGAATGTTTCACGTAAATTCCTATTAATAAACTATTCACGAGGCTCCACGGTAACATTGCCCGAGTGTCAGAATACAATATTCCATGTAGACAAGTCGGAATTCCATCAGACAGTGTACTGAGTGCGCTGGTATTACGCGAAAGATTGACATTTAATCGGATTGTCATTTTATTGTAGTGGAAATATGCAGTCATTAGGAATATGAGATCGAGTGTGATTAAACAAGTAAATGACACGATTGAGCGTTCATAATTCATTCATAATTCCTACCTTCAATGTTGTCAACATAAGTGCACATATCTTTTACGTCATTTCCGACTGACTCTAGTCATACGATATCTACGAAAGTAATCGGGCATTCATTGCATAAATGAAATAGTCAGTCTTACGTTGACAAAGAAGAACATAGAAGAACAATCTGCTCATACATATTGACCGAATGACTGGATTGAACACTCATGGTTAGGCATACTTCGGCGAGAGACTTCGGCGACTTAACAATTTGGCACTCCATAGCCCTATTCAAATCATTATTTACTGAGAAATGCTGTTCCAAAGTGGAAAAAGTGAACTAGTGAGGTGCTCATTTCTTCAACAAGGTTTAAATTATTCAGTATCTGAGTGTCAGGTCTAGTGGTTATATGACATTCACCTGAGTTGAAATACTCCATGGATTCTGTACTTTCTCTCGTGAGAATCTTGTCTGTCTTCTGTTTGGTATTTATTATTTTACTCATGAACACTTCCACTTCGCCTTTCATTGACTCAAATTTAGCAGACAAATTGAAGTCTCATTTCTGCATGAAGCGGCTTTCTTCAAACTCTCTCTGACTTCTCTCATTTGATCTTTATAATTTTTACATCTGACAGGTCTGGAGAAGTTAGTGAGGACGGAAGTGTGAAAAAATTAATCGTCCTCATACTTTACTATTCAGACGTTTAAATTAATCTTATTCCCACACCTATGACTTCCCTCTAATCACTCCTGCCCTACCCAGACCAATGTAATTACCCAAAGGATATTTCGTCTAATCATCAGCGTAAAGAGGGCAAGAAGATCTCCTTTAACAGTTCGTTAATTCTTATCAGTCCTTGTAAACCTTACTTAAACCTCCCTGTTGCGCTAATTAGAGGCTCTAGTGGGTGTTGGTGAGCATTGAGGGCTGTTGGTAGGACATGTGGGCTTTCGCCAAGTCAACTCACTAATATTATTGTGAACAAACACCTGAACGCCCAAGAACAAATGGAGAATACCTTCGTGTCAGAGTGAGAGCATCGTCTTCAAACGCAACCCTCCAAACACGTCTCAAACATAGAACCAGAGGCGATTGTAAACCATTTTATACTTTAACAACATGATGTAAACAATTCACGAACAGTTATTTGTCAAATTGTTGATGTGATCAGAGAAAAGTTATATGAAATTTTGTTTTGTTGAAATCTGTCCTTAAAAATATGTTGCAAAGTTCTTTGTGTACAAATCAATCAGCACTA